CTAGAATGATTTATATCATAATTAATCAGGTATTTAAATGTAACTACACTCAGCTTGGTCCATTAACCTACTTGAAGACGCTTAGATACCGTGTGACTATTTGTGGTTACCATTAGGTACATCACTGTGCTGCTACTAAGCTGAGGGAATTGATCACTGTAAACATAATGCAACAATAATGCAAGTTTTGATAATAAAATGGACCACGGAAAAAGATAGACTTGGCCTCTGGTGTCTATTAAACATACACAGTCAGTGATGGACAAAATAACAGTAACACCTCAGAATATAATGCAGGCCAATACACCACCACCGCACCCTGCAGCACCAAGAATTACCTCATTTTTATACAAATTCTCAATCGAAATTAAACTAATTCATTAAGGCAGGGATCCTGTATTGAGCTGTATTGTATTCTGCAGGGGTTCATGTTGTGTGCATCCCCTGTAGCTGAGGTAATGGCTGAGGTATGACTCTACCGCTGAAGAAGGATGAGCAGCAGTAGAGTCTGATATCTGTGATTCCCGTCTGTGCTAGAAGAGCTAGAATAGTCATGATCCCATTAATGAAACCTACTGAATCTCCACTTTGCAAACTCAAAAAGGCAATATGGTCTATATGGGTTGTGCTCAAACCTAACTGGAGTGGGTTGTGTTCCAGATGCACACACTTGCACATCTCAGCTGCTGCAGGAGAACAGATGTAACCTGCGGGATCCCATCAAAAAGAAAACAAAAAAAACAAAAAAACAAAAAAACATACACAATACAGAGACGTGTGCATATAGAGCATCTGGATTACAGTTCCTCAGCTGTCCAAACCACAGAAGGCAGAGGGAGAGTGGGTGAGGAAGTGGAAGTGGGGAGGAGGCTGCAGCGAGCTTTGGCTGTCAGTAGTGTGACTGTGAATTCAGAGCAGGTGGGGGTTGGGGGGGTGTGGGGGGGTGTATTAAGAGATGCGTGGCTGCATTCACCCAAGCACAGAAAAGCCCCAGACTCACAAGCACCTGAAGAAGCCTTTAGTGAGGAGTTGGGAGAGTGGGGAGGATGAGGTGGCTGCAGGAAAAAACAAAACTGGAACACCGTGCGTCCTGATCATGGAGGCCAGGAAGGGAGCCAGCGCTTGATCTGCTCACTCTGCTGCATCGTTTAGAGAGGAACTCTGAGGAAAAACTAACTTGCAGTTGCATTGGTTTTTTTTTCCTGACATGTATAGTGATTCGATGCTGTGAAAAGATTAAGACTACATTTTAGTAAACGAAGACGACGTGCATCCAAGAAACAAGAGACCTAAGAGACGAGGCAGCATTATCAGGACACACTGTGGACGATAAAATGTCCGGTTTAAACTGGCCTTTTCAAGAATAATATTCTGTCCTCTATAACTATTATTGCAATCAACAATAGGGTCCTCCAAGATCAGGAAGGTGAGGTTAAGGAGCACCTTCCACCACCAACTCACCTTATGATCAGCTCATCTATTCATTCCCCTCCTTCTACCCTTCCCTTTGTTTGTTAGGCAGGCAGAAGACACAACCCTCTTTGCCGTGACTCCATCTCACATACTGAGAGCCGGTGAGTGTGGGATCGTGTGTGTGTGAGGGCTAAGCTTTCTATCTCAGAGCACATGGACAATCTTAACAGGTGAGAACATACATACAAGTCACTCAAGAGCACATATCCAGCCAGTCCAGCTGATCACAGTATTACAGGAATAGAGCTGCCATCCCAGAAAAGTCTTATAGGAACCCTGAGATTGATGAGAATCTACAGGTCAGACTGGCCTCATACCTATAGGCCTATCTTATAGGACGTTTCTGATTGGCACACAGGCTGTGAGGGACCCAAAGGTAAGGAAATTGTTGACCTCAACAGGAGGAGGTTGGTTAATCATTTTTTGATGCATTGAAGCTAAGCTCTTTTGGGAAACAGGTGTTAAGATCCCTTCCACAGCCATGTGGAGCAAACCCAGCATTCAACAGTTTTAGCAAAGCGATCTGTCCACCATTGTAGTCTCTCTGTGTCATGTTACTGAGTCCGGCGGCGGGCCACCATACACACATTGTCCATTGGCACGCCCAGGCCTCTATGGTAACAAAGGAGGGTGGGGAGGTTGGGTCAGGTGGGTGGTTCTGGGAAGTTGAGTCCGAGCCAGAGCCACGAACCCAGATCCAAGGTGGCGACGGCGGTGGCGGCGGAAAAAAAGCGCTGTGTATGTGTGTGTGTGTCTCTGTGTGTGAACGGCGGAGAGGAGAGGCGGCACATAGGGACAGTAGGGTTGGGGTTGAGGAGGAGGTGGAAGGAAGGGGGGGGGGGGGGGGGGGAGGAAGGTGTGAGGGCGGCGAATACGGCCAGGTGGAGAGGAGTTGACTAGCGGCGCAAGGGAGGTGGGCGGTGGAGGTGGGGGTGTGTCCGCATGTGCCAAGCCTCACCGATCAATGAAACACCACCCAACAAGTTCTTCAGACATCCATGCTCTCTTTCTGTCTGTCTCACACACACGCACACACACACGCACACACACACTTCCTTTTACTCACTAGCAGACACCAGCAGGACAGAGAGGGCACAGTCAGTCGCCTTGTATGCTGATGCGAGACAGTCAGTCTTGTGAAGGCAGGGGTCCTAGCCCCACACCACCCTACCCCGCCCGCCACCCCCACCGAGGAGAAGCCCAAGGCTGTAGGTGTGGCACTGCCATTGCAGCAGAGGAGGAGTTACGGAGCGGGGAGAGGGGTGGGAAGGTGGTGATGGCAGAGGAGAGGAGGGGGGGAGGAGTGTTTGGTCAAGGCACAGTCAAAGGAGGGGCGGCAGGTGGGGAGAGGAGAGGTCAGTGCTTTTGTTTCTGTTTTGTTTTGTTTTGTTTTTTTTTTTTCATTTACCTTGGTGGTGAAGAGAGAGAGAACAAGTTCCCACAGCGTTGGCGTCGCGCTAAAAGTCGTCCCCATGGCTCAAGCCGCCACGCTCACGCACGGCTGCACGCTGGCCGTTCCAGGTGGCACGGTGACCTAATTCAGTTGAGATAGTTAGTTCAGAGCTGGACTGTCGCGGGGCTTTTTCTTTTTTTTTTTTTTTTTTTTTGCGGCAAAGTTACAGATTATCACACATGCAGGTCTGAGAGTAGAGTGGACACAAAGACACACGGAGGGGGGAGAATTTGGTGCAGCAGGGAGAGACCAGACCAGACCAGACGCACACCCATCAACCCCAGGAACAGGACTGCTCCACAGATCAAAATGCACCCAGGCCATTCTATCTGTATGCCTCTCCCCAGCTCTCAACATGATTTCACAGTGTGTTTTAAGTCCTTTCTGCATTAAAATCAATTTTTTTTTTTTTTTTAAAAAAAGGACCATAGCAAGCCTTTCTTGCCAGAATTCTGTTCTGAAATGCATTTGCTCGAGCAAACCCTTCCATAGAAATGTTGGCTTGCACACAGTTTGAGAGGCTGGAGAGAGAAAGGAGCACCAACCCGCACTTACCCTGACCAAAGAGAGCAAAGCTGGGCCAGCATCTACACCTGTCTCCCCCTGGGTCCCCAGTCAAATGGGTCTGGTGGTCATTTTACACAAGAGAAACAGATAGTGGAGAAGAACAACATAAACAAGAAGAAGGGGAAATGTCCAAACCCTTTGCTTTCTTTTACCACAATAGCCAGCCAAACATTCTTTATTATATAATAAGGTTTATAGTATACATATTCTCAATAAAAAGCATGCCGATTTTTTTTTTTTTACTTTTCTTTTGTGTTTTCCTAAAAAAAAAAAAAAAAAGAAAAAAAAAAAAGGCAAAATTAAAATACTTCTCTAAAAATAAGGTCTCAAACATGGCAAACAAGACATTTCGCAAACCACATAATTCTACAAAGGATGCAACTGGTATGTGTTTGTATATACGACACAGAAAGATTACACTGTGAAATGCAAAAGTCACCGAACCACTAAAAAAACCACAGGGGGAGAGGGAAGGAAGGGGAGGGAGCGAGGCAGTAAGGTGATTTCAGATGGTACGTCTGTGTGTGCATCAGACCGCTGTCAAATGGTAGTTGCAAAAAAAAAAAAACAAAACAAAAAAAAAAAAAACAAGGAAAACTTTTTTAACTGATTGTTTAAAGTGATTGTAGAACCAGATGGGTGGAATTTGCCACTCAGGACAAGCTCAGAAATGTGACCTCGCAAGTCGAGCTTTTGTTATCCGGATGTAGCAGAGCCCACCTATCAGATACCACAACCAGATAAAAAAAAAAAAAACACATACTAAACATTTTTTGGCAATTACAATCTGAAGCAGGTCTGGTATTTATTTGGGGGAAAAAACCAAACAAAAAAGAGGATAGCTGGGGCAACTGGAAGACACTGCCCCACCTCTCACTTCATTGGTGCTATCGTTTCTGCTTAAAAACTAGCGGCTAATCGTAAACCCGCGAGGCTCAATTTGTGGCTTTTTTCAAAACCCTATGATATGAAACAGAAAGTAATACACGAGTACAAGTCCACGAGAAAGCTCCGTAGCCTTCTGGATACTAAGCTCATTGAAATGATTAAAAAGTAATGTCAAAAAAGCACTTAAAAATGGGAGATCCCTCCACTTAATGCACTTCACTCAAAGCTTATAGGCACATAATTGAGCTTGTCACATATCATCATGATTCCTAACAGGACGCAGTGTAAAGATTCTTTGTAAACAGCTCATTCAGTAGTCACACATGAGTTTTTTTTTTTTCTCCCTCCCATTTACAATTCATCACAACCCAGTTTGACTTGTATTACATGTAAACTACACTGAAAAAAACAAACAAAAACACGTACACTATTTTAAAAAGAAAGGCCTCTGAACATGAAGGAGGACTATCTACAAAAGTCACTGTCACTGAAATCCAGCTCCTCCCTAAACTGCTGATCCTGTACCTTTACGAGGAGCAGGAAATAAACTGCTGACTGGTGTGGACTTTACGAGGAGCAGGAAATAAACTGCTGACTGGTGTGGAGTAGAATAGAATAGAATAGAATAGAATAGAATAGAATAGAATAGAATAGAACAGACTCTACACTGAAATTTACTGTCAGAGGTAGGCAGCTGTAGTTAGAAAGAGAAAGAGAGGTGAAGCAGTGTCTTTCAGCGTTGCAGTTAGAGTAAAGGTGAGGAAGGGATTCAGAAAAAGGGTCGAGGAGAGATCCAAACATACATTACAGTACGTGTTATGTGTGCTTTAGGTTTTTTCTTATGTTTTTTGTTTTTTTCCTGCAAGGCGCAGTCCTAGCTGCTGCGTTTGTGTGCTGCAAGGTCAGGAGCCTGCACATCTCTCTCTCTCTCTCTCTCACTCATTCACACACACTACATCCACTTCGCATTCAAGACAAACAATCCCCCCAAACACATCAACCTTGGTTCTGTTGGATACAATGCAATGCAGCCAGTACACAATGTGTGTTTGCCTGACTTCCCATCTGATTACATTACAAATCTAAAGTCTTCAACATAAGGCAAAAAAGGTTTCAAATTAGCTGCCCTAACTGATCATCTAGGCCTAAGGAGGATGGCTGATAGGTTTAAAACCAATGTCTCTTTTATCGTAGATTTGGCCATAGAAAATCATAACTGGGTTGCGGAAATAAAGGCATATGAAACGACTGACTGGGTCAGTCTAATACTGGCACAAGTGTGAGACTGGCACGTTAAAAAAGTAAAACTGAGAAGCACAAAGAATGCCCATACAACAGATGAGAGCCTCCCTTTCATGGCTGCACTGTGTGTATGCAAACAGGACCAAGGTTCGCTGATCAAGTCCCTCATAAAGCAGGTTAATAAACCAAGCCCCCAGTTTCAAACCCTACCCCACACACTTAGAGCCCCCAGACGCACACTCACACTCACATACACACACATACAGCTGCTGTAAGGTGGTCAAGTTTGGGGTGGAAGAGGAGATGTGGGGTTGGGAGGGGGGGAGGGGTTCAGGGCAAAGAGGGAGGGATGGGGGCAGAGAGTTGTGTGCGACTATCGGAAGGGGGGCTCAGGCGTGTGAAGGGAGAGTTCGGGGCGGCGGAGGATGGCCTCCTTGCGCGTGGGCGGCGGCAACGGCGGCTCATACACCCTGGGCGCAGCCATGGCGGCTGCCACTGCCGCAGCAGTGGGGACCACTGGCCTGAGGGCATCCAGCGTGGCGACCGACTGGGCTGACATCGCTTGCACAGCAGGGACTGCTGGCATGGCCTGCACTCCCGGCATGCCAGGGATGGCTGTCACTGTGCTCGGTGGTGGGTAGGCATACTGGAACTGAGGGTACTGCTGCAGCTGCTGGTAGTACTCAGCATAGTACCTAAGAGAGGGGAGGAGGGAGGAGAATGGAGAGGGGTGGGTTAAGGGAGGGAGAGGAGTGTACAGGTAGGAAGAGGGACAGCAAGGGCGTTGATGGTAGCACTTGGCAACACAAAGAGAGTAACAAGAGAGTGATAAAGCAAACAAGAAAATGCAAAAAAAAAAGACGCATTAATCAGCCCTGAGACATGAGCCCACAGGGTTGTAAAGCATGACTAAAGTCATAGTAATGTATAGTGGTAGAGAACATGAAACTCTGGTCCGATGTTTCAGTGATGCTGTGTAGCTGATCGTAAAGACCATCAAAGATCATCTCCTACCTGGCCATGGGGTCCTCTGCAGCCTCGACGGCCTCTTCTGCCGCTCGCCCAGCTGGTGTGGGGAGCAGGGGTCGACGCGGCTTGGCTCTCTGGTACATGAACGGCTTCATCACAGGGTCTGGTAGCAGGGGCGCCGACCTCCGTAGGGGACTACGGTCCCTCTCACCCGACTTTGCCACAGCCGCCGCTGCAGCAGCAGCAGCAGCCACTGACTGCTGCTCAGCCACAACCTGCTGGCCTTGGGCAAAGTAATGCGCCTGCCTGGCTGCCTCAAAGATGGCTGTAGTAGGGTCCGCTGCTCCCATGGCGCTTATGTGAGCATAGGCTGGTGTGGCGGCACCATAAATTGCTGGAGCTACAGTGTAGGCGGGGTTTACCGCAGCCGCTGCTGTTGGCATTTCTATTCCAGGAGCAGCAGTCAGATAGACGGGGGGGTTGGCCACAGTTGGGGTGTAAACTGGAGTCGAGTAGGCGGCAGCGGCGGCGGCAGCAGCAGCCGCCGCCGGGGATGCAGCCACCTGGCCGTAGATGTTGGGAGCCATCGAGCTGTACACTTGGGTGGCGCCTGATGTGAGAGCTGCCTGATTGGCCACCGTGCCATAAAGCTGATTGGCGACATTGGCACCATACACCTGACTGGCAAGGGCACCATAAACAGCTGGGTTCACTGGATTTCCATCAGTGCGTGTGCCTGTGGTGATCCCAGTGAGAGCCGCATACGTGGGATCAAAAGTGGAGGTGTTGTAGACTGAATTGTGCACACTCTGTTGGACCTGTAGAGGCAGTCCGGCAGCTGCAGCGGCAGCGGCGGCCAGGACCGCTGCCTGACTCTGGTATTGCTCCAGAGAAGGCTTCCCCACAGGGCATTCTCCAGCATAGTGGCCCTGTTTTCCACAGTTAACACAGGGGATTTTCCCTGTCGGTGCCTGCTTGCTGGGCTGGACCTTGGACAGCTCTACAGACAGGGGGCGGCCCTTAAATGAGGTGCCATGGAGGGCCTCGATGGCCTGGAGTGCATCTTCCTTGTTTTCCATGTGAACAAAGGCGTAGCCTGCAGAAGAGGAATGCCTGGCTGTCATTGAGCGCAGGGACAACAATTAGGATCACAGTGGCATTGCCACAAGCACTTACTCACTTATTACTATTACCTCCACTAAAGGAAACCACCTCGTCAATCTTTACAACAAGCAGGTGGGAGATTATCTTGTTTTGCAAACTGAGAACTTTGAACGGGTGTATCATAATATATCACGTAGTCAGACTCTTCACTTATGTTTAACATCTGCAGGCACTTAAAATCTCTCAGCAACTCAACAACTGCAATAAAACTGAGATACAATCTCTTACCTGCACTAATTCACTCTTACACTAAGTCCACAGTTGTACTATCATCAAGCACAACGTGGGAGAAAAGTGACTGGGAGCATTTTAAAAACATTTCAAATGTTACCAGGCTCTTCACTCACCTTTGACTTTGTCACACTCAAGAACTTTTCCAAACGTCTGGAACAGCTGCTGTAGATCTTCAGTGGTGCACATCCCACTCAGATTACCCACGAACACCTTGGTGGAGTGCAGCGGCCGTCCCCTCGACTCCTCCACCACCAGATTCCGACCGCGAAACTCCCGTCCGTTGAGCTCCCGGATGGCGCGCTCGGCGGCACCCTCGCCCTGCAGGTGGACGAAGGCGAACTGTCGCAGCACGCTGCAGCTGACCACCTGGCCATAAGGTTCGAAGATGGCTGACAGCTCCTCCTGGGTGGTGTCCAACGCCAGGTTGCCCACGAAGAGCTTCACTGTGTGGCTCTTGTCCATGGCGCTGCAGAGATACAGAGGAGTGATGTGCTTGACTGCGGTTAGAGATAAGCAAGAGGATTAACAACACAGCCGCCATAGATATAACTACTACTAAGTGAGCACAAAGCCGCACCTTTGGCTCTGTAGTAGTCTGACAAGAAGGAGGAGGAGGAGGTGCTAGAGAGCAATGTTTGAACACAGGGGTTGACTGCAGCACACAAGGACATGGCTGACCCAGCTATTTACTTTCTTTTGCAGGGCTTAAAAATGTCTGTGGGGGAGGGGGGGGCTGTCGACTTTGGATTAATAATAAAAATAATTTTTTTAAAAAGCAAGACTTACAAGTCTTACACCATTTCTCCAGCATGAAACTTTTATTTACTCTCCAGAGATTAACCAAACAAAAGACGCTCTAACCACAAAAACACAAAAATTACTTATGTAAGAAACTGTCCTGCTTTAACTCAGACTGAAAAACACGCAGCAGCTTGTAAGTTTGAGGTTATAGTTGTACTTGGAAAGGGAAAAAAAGTTGTTTTTTCAGCATCAAACAGGAGACAGGAGACCAAAGGTTCAAAACATTCAGCAAATACACAAATAACCTATCCAGCATTCTCTCAAATAAAATAATGCAATAGCTTGTGATTTTGAGGTTAAAGTCTTAAACACACTCGTGATAACACATGGATAACATGCTAGATTAACATTCAAATTTCACATATGAAACACCACACAGACCACACATTTGCCTGTGAGCTGGCCATAAACTCAGATTCCCAACAGAAACCAAGGAAACACATTACATCTGTTAAAATGTTCAATATATCTCATCAGTCAGAAACCGCCTCTGAAGGAGATCTTTAAAAAAAAAAAAAAAAGGCTCCTCAGAGGAGGCTGTGATTACCTGTACAGCAATGAGTCACACTCTCTCTCTCTCACACACACACACACACACAGGAGACAGTCAGGGATAAGGAGCTCACTGTGCATCAATTCACATGCCATGTACTGTGTAGTGATGATAGCCTGTGATTGAAGCAGCGGCCTCGTGCTTCCTTGTGTCCTTTCCTCAACAGCCTCTAAATCTACGCGTCAAACTGAGGAGTGTCGCTACAGGTTGGCCAACACCTTGTCTTCCTCCTGGACAACCTTTATGGTTGGCTGTAAATCGAAGGGCAGTGTGGAACACGACACCAGAGAATGACATTTCTATTTTTTGGTTAAGACTCCGGTCAGCTGCCACAGACTTAACTACACCTCCTCCACCTCCACCTCCTGCTGCTGCTGCTGCTGCCCATAGAAAATATGTGTTTATCCGCTTCACTGTTGTCTGCACTGCACATGTGTGTATGTGTGTGTGTATGTGTGTGTGCCCCGTGTTACATATGGCTGCTGCATTAACTCTGGGTTCATCTCAGGCACAACCAGAAGAGAAGCTGGTTTTCTGATGACGCAGCACGACGCTGAGTCAACACATTTTCACCGCTGGAGTCGTTTAAGCGAAAAGGAAAAGAAAAAAATAAAACATGTCGAAAATACACAAGTGTACACCGGTTGGACTGGTGGGCCTGTTGTAACACACTGTCCACGTTTGCTGGAAAACTGTGAATGGCGAGACGGGATGCTTAAAGCAAAAACAAAGGCGAAAACAAACCACCGAGAAAAGAGTAAAAAACAAAACAAAACCCAAAACACTTATTTCACCGTGTTAGACTCAGCAAGGGTGATAAGCACGTCAAACCTGATCACAATAACTGGCTCTCTGTAGGAGATCGATACAGTGTATCAACACACAATCACATTTTTTCCGCACTGGACTGGACACAGTGTAACACCGAGTGATTCCCGTGCAACCACACGGTCGAATAGTCCCTGTCTCTAAAACATACCCGAAGAGAAAACACTTGAGCTTTAAGACGAATCGGATTTAATTACCTCCCATGCGGCTCGGATGAGAATAATGCTGCAGAAAAGGCGATTAAATAAAAGGATCTACCATCTTACCTAGGCGGTGCTGTATTTCAAAATGGTAGCGCCTGCTTCCGTTTGAGTGTCGGGCATACTGCTGGAAAGGCTGCAGAGGGGGAGGGCTGAGGCTGAGGCTGAGGCTGCTGCCACCGCCGCCGCTGCTGCTGCTGTTGCACCCAGAGGATGCTGAATCCTCATAAAAAAAAGACTCATCAACTGACTCATACACATACATATTCACCACAAAGCCTGTGTGATAGGTACGCTTTTTGCCTAGTGAGGACACCCTCTGCCCCCCCCCTCCCTCCATGTTGGCCCCACCCTCTGCCTCTTTCTCAGACAAATACACGCACCGGGTGATTATTGTCTCATTAAGAGTTGATATAGGTAGGTCACATCCAGATCATTAGTCTTGATGCATTGTGGGCCATGCGGCGAGGGGAACAGGGTAGTCGTCTGGAAGGTATGTTTTAAAGCAATCTGTTTACTGATCAGTTTTTACCTTTTCACTACAGGTGCTTTAAACAGCCTGTTGCCCAGGCCTTGCAGGCTGGATGACCTGTTTTTTGAAGGTATGACTAGTGGGTTTGTCTGAATCCTGGGAAACACGTGGCATTAGGTAATGTGAACTCATTTTTACACATTGGAAGTTCATAACCCCATTGAGGTAAAAGTTATCTTGCAGTGTGTATGTATATTTATAATGTATGTTTGGTTTATATTATACCGCAGTTGCCTTGAATGCCCTGTGGCCCTGACTCTGGAGCCAGATATGGGTTGCCAGATACTGTAGTGTTTGAGGTAAATTGCTTTAACCAAAAGTATTTAGTATGTTTTGTACTATGTTAACTTAACATAGTACTGCTGCTTATAGCGACTGCTGTTTTGCATGTGTTATATTGTTGCTGTCTGTGCTCTTGTGTACACTCATTTTACAAAATGGTGCCAGTTATAGTTGGATGGGCCAAGCCTGGAAATGTTGGTGCCAACCACAAGGGTTTGCTACTGTATTTTTTTTTTTTTTTTTTAATAACTGCATGATCTAACCTCAGCCCTCTTACCTTGTACCCCCCCCCCCTCTCTTTTTTTTCTCCCCTCCTAGTGTTCATCAGGCAGATAGGGTGGTGTACTGCTGGTGCCCCTCTCCCCTTCATTGCATGTGGTGGTGTGATGTAACTGTGTGCACTCTGTGTCTGTCTTGTGTGGTTTGGTTGTTTAGGTGACGGCCTACGTGTGTGTCTGTGGTGTCCGGGTATCCTGGTAGCACTTAGGTAAAACCCCACCTACATGTCGCATCTACAGATTCTGAGGTCACAAATTTAAGTTTATCTTTTTCCAGAACATCCATGGCAGGTTGGTATTAGCATGTTGTCTTTTTTTAGGATTGTCTATGATTTTTATCATGTCTGTCTTTTATCATATTTACTGTCAAATAAATTTCCCATCTAGAGTCAAAATCCACGTGTTCTTGTTGCTATTTATGGGGAATCCAATATGAAATTGTATGTGGTTTTCCAGGGCTTTTTTTTTTTTTTTTTTTTAAATCCCAGGTAGCGGCTCTTCCTTGAGGCCTACCAGCTTTATAAATCGTCCTCGGTTCCACCTGTGTAAGCCTGTTTAATTTATTAGAGCCTCCAGAAGAATAAAGGCTACCTGAACACCACAGGGTTCTGCTCCACAGGGAGACTCGACAAGTGAGTCGGTTCAATTAAAGAACTCATTATGTGCTATGAAAAAATATATATATACATGACACATTTGTTAAACCACAGGACTAATGTAGGTTTTACATACCAAAGACTGATGGATTCATACATTAGAGAGCTGAAAATATTAGATATGGAAAATTAAGCATATAATGAAGTCCATCAACCAAAAACACCAAATGTTTGTTTTAAATTGCTACCAACTGAATATATTTGAGTTTGTAATGGACAGACAAAAAAGGCTATTTAAAGACATTATTGGGCTCAAATTTCCTCACATTTCAAAGGCTAAATTATTTTTTAAAAAGAAGCGTTCTTTAGTTGCAGCCCTACATACAAGTTGCATTCACAGCTCTCGGAAAAAGATGGTGAAAGACACCAACCCATCATAGTTCAATAAGCTTATTCAGGCATTACCATGGCATGACAGATGCTCAATCTGAAAAATCAATGCAAAAAAACTTGCTGCACACACTCTTATAGCCAATATTTATGTCTTCATCAAGAAGGAAAATAGGCAGTGTTAACAGAAATCAAAGTGTCAGCAGGTGTTACTGTTTCACATTTCAATCATCAATTTCAGACGACTTGTCTATAAATAAAATGAAAACAAAAAGTGGTTTCCTTCACTTTATGGCTTTAGTTGTCCGCAGCAACTGTACACTCACACACCATGATGAAAAAACAGCTGAGCACACAGTCCTTAAAAGCCCCGACCCAACCCCCCTCCCTGAAACTTTTACCCCCCCCCCGCCACTGCCCTTTCACCTTGTCAAGTCTGGATGTGGAATTTGACATACTCTCGTGCTCTGGGGCTTGTTCTATATATCTTTACCATTGTCACTTACACCACCTTATGGATTCGAATCGAAGCACACTAAGTGTGGCCGTGTGTCCTGCAGACCCCCCCCCCCCCCGCGTCCCCTCCCCTCCCCTCCCCTCCCCAATGTGCTTTTGACTTTTAGCTTAATGGATCCCACGTTTTTATTAAGTGCTCTCTCATTGTTCCCCTTTTATTATTCAAGATAACGCGCTGTGGTGAGTCCACATCTGAGTTTGGTCAAGCTTGTATTCATACTTCTGACAGTCGCAGATGTTTCAATCATTTATCTGTTATAACTATTTCTTTCAACTTTTCTCTTTGTGAACTAGCTAGCCTGTATGTCTTTTCAATCTCACAACACTTATAGTTACAACTGACCCAGGGTGTAAGATGACAGATTTCAGCATCACACATTTTATTCTATTTGTTATATTCTCTCCTAAACTGAAACGTGGATAGATTTTATACCAAGTCACAACCTTTTTTTTTCAAATCAGCTAAACTACTCCACAATGTTTCCACATATCCACGGGTGTATGTTTATTCCTGGGTGGGAGAGTGAGCTGATGTGAGAGCAGTGTTATAGGTTTTTTTTTTTTTACTACCACTGTTTTTAGGAGGCTTAGACACTTTTTTTTATAGCAAATTGAAGGGGATTTATCCCTACCAGCACACAGCCAAAATGGATACCTCAGATCTCACATGTACATCAATTTAGATGGTGATGAGACGATTGTGTCAGAGGCGACTGGTTATACAAACATATAACAGCATTAATGGACATCTAGCTAATCAGAGGGGACTTTTACAAAGTCCCGGCCTGTTTTAATCTGCTTTAGTGCATTTAAAACCCTCAGAGGACACTAACTGCGACTGCAGGAGCGTTTGATTTTATCACAGAAAAATTTCAAGAAAATAAGGCCATTTTTCTTTGGTTCTCCCTCCAGCTGTCTGTGAACACATTCCTCAGTGCTCGTCGCCTCACCGACCCTCTGTCGACAAACATCCTCTGCATTTCTCTTGGAGATGGCTCAGTGTTTGTGTCCGAGGTTCACAGGTGCGCTGCCGGTGTCTCTGCGTTGGTCTTGTTTCGGCCTTTCCCAGCTATCGGCCTGTCTCTCTCCTCCCACAGCGTCACCCCGTCACACGCACATATCTGTTTGGGATTTTGGAAAAGGCCCGCAGATCGGGCGATGATCCCACATGCCAGCCTGTGAAGCAGAGAACAGAGAAATGAGCATTTGCAGTTACAGTCTTATTTCACTAATGCCTTTTTAGTCATAATTATTTCTTTGTTTAATCATATGAAATATCTGTTCATTCTTGACCGAATCAATATCAAATGATCATTAAAAAAAAAATCATTTAAATATGGATTTTCATTCCTCGGTTTGTGTTGTGTATTACAATATTAAATCACACAATTCACACAGTGACAAACGACACTCTGTGTATGAACAAGGAGAAAACAAAATCCCACAAACACCTTACAATACAATGGAATCTGAAACCACATCAGCACAAACCGCAGCCTGGGAAACAATCACAGAGCTGGATGTAATTTCTTTTATCCACTCTATCGGCCAACTTAAACCACTGCCATTGACCCACCTTTCCCCAGAGTTCCCAGTCTGTTTGGAGAGAGGGTGACTGCCTCGGCCCAGGTCGTCCTCCCCTGCATCCACCACCAGCGATCGGCCAATCACATCCCATACCTGCACCAGGGGATCAATCACATTAGATGTTGATATATGACATCTTTGCTTCCTTTACCTTCATTAGGCTCAATACACTGTAGTTTAGTAGTGTGTGTGTATGTGTGTGTGTGTTACCTTTAGCTGACTGTCTTCTAGTCTAAATGAGGCTCTGCCATCTGGTCCGGCAACAATATTTCCCAGATCACCTACATGCTGCAAAATAATAGTCATACATAACCACACAGTGAATAAATAACACTGAAGGAAAAACACAAGCAGTGCTCAGCGTGAAAGAAAAGAAAAACTGCAGCTCTCTCACACACTTTATGGAAAATTTAGCACCTGGAGCGGGAACAGCTCAAAACGGCTCCTGTGGGACGAATTTGGCAATCGGGGAGGGATATCCCATCCTCCATTTGGCTTGTGTTGAAGTTTTATTATATCTCAGGAGTGATTTTGTCAAAAAGGTATTGCGCAAGAATATTTATTCACTTTATTCTTTTCTCTTTGATCATCTGACTGTCTAAATGTTCTGGCACTGCTGATCTCCATCACTTAAACTTATAAAATTGAACAATCATACTTTCTTTTAATAGAGCCCTAGCAGCAGATATGACTGTACCCTTTCAGAGTCCCCTGGTCCACCGTGCTGTCTTCCAAACGGGTTATAGTGCTCTCCACAACTGCAGAAGAAGGGGAAATTATAAGACAATTGTAAAGTGTGGGGGGTGGGTGTTCTTTGGCTTTCACACATAAAATTCTCCTGGTTGAATCATCGATACAAAAGATGAGCAACTGTGTTAGGAAACGTCCTTGCCATTAATTGCTGGTTTATATAGTCAAGAGGTAGACTGGAAATGTGTGACAAGTAATAAATAACACAAGTAACAACGTCCTACCTGCTGCAGTCCTGCGTGAGGTCCCCCAGGGTGTGAATGTGGAGGCCGTGGAGTCCAGGCTCCAACCCATCAACGGCCCCATCTATCAAGCAGCGCTCCTCCGATAACTGCAGGAAACGCACCACCCCTTGGATCTTTCCGACACCATCCAGCATGGCCACCGCTGCACCCAGATCTGTCAACAAATTGGCCGTGACATTGCTCGAAGTTTAGCATCCTCATGTTTAGATTCGTCCAGATTGTGTTTAGATCTCACTGGGACACACTGCAGTTCACATATGGAGTAAAAAATGCATCACAAATGCATCTTGAGTGACTGCCTGAGATCGGATCATGTTACCTGGCTCACATTATATTTTATCCGCGGGAAACTGTGAGCTGAACATCAAAATGTGCACACATATAGCAACAGCTATGTGTAGCTATTTTTTACGGACTCCAGGTCCTTGTCTGGCGGCCAGGGGCAAATCAACCATGACCGAACGTGTGTGACTGTGATAAACATTTACTTCAGATTTGACCCGGCACTCCTCCTCCTCTTCCTCCTGTGCGCAGAGACATATTTACATTCACACGACATATCAGATCACATGAAGCATGTCCTTGACCACCTCTAAACCCGAGCGCACCCTCAACATGTGCAATCACATCACCCACCAGTGATTTATTCACCCAGGATGTATTTTATTGACATGTGTGACAAGGCCAGTGTCTCAACAGCTGAAGCTGCATTTTAGTCTCAGCTATCGAGCATCTTTGTTCTCAAGGGGGAAATCAATGACGGCAACAGTAGCATGTATTTCTGTAGACTCGTGTCCTCCTTTCCATAATATAATAATGATAAATTAACACACACATTTGGTTTTGGGGCAAGTAATTGCGATATTTCTCCACAAATGCTTTTCTTTGTTAAGTTTAGTGTGAAACAAGCAGCCATTTTTAGAGAATGTAAGTTTTACATGTGTTAAATATCTGATTAAATATAAGTTAACAAGACTACAAATCTGGTACTGGCAGTTTTCAATATTCAGCGCTGAAAATGTCAGTAGTGAAAAAGGTGCACGGGTTCGATTCTCAGCCTCGCTCCCGTCGCGTCTCACCTTGCACTGATCCTCCGATGCCCTTCAGCACCGCCCTGCGTCCGGTGCTTTCTATCAGAGCCTGCACCTCGGCACTGGTCAGAGCCGATTCCACCAACACCTCTTCCCTACTGAGATCAATGCTGACAATCTTCACTCCTGCAAACACAGTGAAATGAATGGGCTTTGTCACTGGATACACAATCAGACACACACAGGCAGACAAAGAGCGTGCAACCTTTACAGTGATGCAGACATCTTGATTATCAATTAAGGTAAAATTAATGGTTCATACCATTTGTTTCCAGCTTCTCGAATGTGAAGATTTGCTAATTGATGATTTTCTTTGATTTATGACACTGTAAATTTGTGTTTTAGACTGTTAATCGTGTGTGCACTTTCAAAATAGACTGAACACTTTAGTGTTTTCTCAGGCTTATGATGAGTTAATGGAAAGAAACATGTTGTTCGGCACTAATTACAGGAAAAATAGAGATGAAATAGTTGTGTTGAGTTTATTTATTGACTTCCAGATGAATTTCCACAGAGGAAATTGCTCCATCTAAACCTCAGTGAATATTTATGACTCATCCATTTATTATTGGAAACTCTATTGATTCTTCAATTATGCTGAACTGTCAGTTTAATTCTTTGTAGACACATTTCACATTTAGTTAATCTGCTGTCCTCTGAATAAGAGTCTCAAGGTTGTGCAAGCTTTGCATTTAGAAATAATTGGAAATGTACCAACTGTTCACCCTGTAGTTTACCTTTAATTAGTGACAAATTATACAGTTATTTCTTGGAAACTTCTTAGCAGATAATCTGGAAATAAATTATAAATGTACAGACCCATAAAATAAAGTGCTGCCCATAGAAAGAGACTTGTTGCTATATGCTTTACTGAATGATATGCCATGGTGGAGTGTGGTAAACAACATCTATACTGCGCACTGGAATGCATGGAGGCCAGCAGTATACAAGTGGCACATTATCTGCTGTGTTATGGTCCTCTGCTGTGTCAAATACAAGGAATTAGACTGACCGTCACCCCGGCAGTGACTGTACAAGTCACCATTTCAGAGGATGTATGACTGCATTCAGGGCAGAAAACAGCTCTTTGTACAGTATTAGCAAACATGTAAATGCTTTGTCACCTGGTTTCCCTTCCAGAGCAGCACTGACTTTCTCTGCACAGCTCTCGCATGTCATCTGCACTGCAAACTCCAGCTGTGGAGGAGAAGACAGACACTGAACACCTGTAGATATTTACACGCTTGAACAAACGGTGTATGAGTGACTACAGCGTGTGAAGCCGGACGGTTATTTAACTGCGCAGCACGGAACTGGAGCTAGTTATGTCAGCCAGCTGTAACAGTCACATCATAACAGCATCCGAATATGGCATGATTTTGTTTTGACGGGATTATAACAGGTGAAATTATTGTCGTGACACGGACACACGTGACAGAAATGACGGTCAAACCTTGGTGGGCCTCTCTGTGTCCATTTTGTGGCCGTGCGTCGCTGCCTGTGCGATGAAAACTGAATTAAACAGAAAACTTCCTACTTTTCTAGAAACGGAAACGAACCAACTGTACCTTCCACCGGCCGCAGCCATGTTTGTGAGGTCACAGTGACGTTGCCGCACATTACCGCCGCCAGGTGTCGACTACCTGTCACTGCAAGTCAGGACTAATGGACTGACTTGCAGCTCCTTAACTGGCTTTATTAGTTAATCTGAGAAATAAGTGATAGTATATTTTTCCTCAGAGATGGAAGAAGTAATCTATTAAGATATTTTACTTCAAGTAAAAATAACCACAGTGTAGAAATACACTGTTTCAAGACCTGTATTCAAAAAGTTTACTTGAGTAAAAGTACAGTATTAATATCAAAATATACTTAAAGTACAAATAGTAAAGGTACTCATTATGCAGAAGATCTTTAAAGTGTATTGTATTTGTATTATGAATCGAAACCTGCAAAGTAACTAGCAACTAAAGTTATAAAATAGTCTAATGAAGTAAAAAGTACAACATTTGTATAAATTAGCAGAAAATTTAAAAACTCAAGTAAATTGTAAGTAAATTTTAAGTACAGCACTTCTTATTTACTTTCCACTTGATTTTTTATTTTTCTTTAAATCCTTACAAAATGAAATAGGCCTATGGATGTGGTATGCAAAAAAATATGATTATTCATCTTTTACTTCAGTGAAAATTGCAAAAACAAACAAAAAATTTATTTGAATGAATTTAGATTAAACTATTCAATTAGCAAAATTACTTAAAATTTAAAAAATAAAAGTAGACTATCATGCAGCTGCCAGTGTTTTTATTTCCTAATATATTAATTGTTGCACTTTAATGTTGTAGTTTGTCAGTGTGGAGCTACTTGTCACTGTTTGGTAGTTTAATATGTTTAAAGATGATCATATATTTTACAGTTTATCTAAATCTTTAAAATAGCTGAAAAGTTTCAAGTGCTCTTCATTAAATCAAATCCTGTTTATTTATCGTTGACATTCTTTCAGCTGTAACTGCTCAGTGTATTTCTGTTACCTGTTTACATAGTGGTTCACAGTGATCTATCATTCCAGCCCTGGATTTAAATAGCCTTACCTACAGCAGGAGTTTCCTTGGTTGCAATGTGAACAATTACATCGGTTGCTCTTCTTGTTGTGTTGTGTTCGCTGCCTCCAGAACTCTGGGACCAGTTCACTTGCAGACACCACCAGTGGCCACAGGTGTCACCAAATCAAACTGGTCTGAAATCTTAAGGTTTATAACTTTAGGTCCAGTACATGAGAAAACTGTATAATTGCTTTGCAGCTTTACTTTAGTAGGTACAACAATCCTTAGTGCAGTGGTGGTTTGTTGATTTGTTGTCCAGAATGTCCCACTCATTGATATCTGACATTACCAACAATATAACTCTTTCACAGATGGCTGCCGTTGACAAATTTTCCTTTTTGTATATATCATCATACCACCCGTACCTCAAGTCTTTTTAAGATGATTTTCATACCATAGTCAAATGAATAGAAACCAGTCAGTGCCATGGCTCATCAGTAATGTAAAGTAGACTTAGAAACAGGCAAATCATGCAAAGTCAAACAACCACAGAACCACTGCAGGTGTATATCCATAAAGCAATCGCCTTTACTGGTTCTTATCAGGGTCAGAAGGGGGTTATCTGGACATATAAGATTGTAGCATATGGATAAAAGTAAATGATCACAAAGGTTGTCGGCGGTTATGATGATTGCTTCCTGCTGTATGTGGTGGCCTCCAATTCAATTTCATAATGTGTATAGATTACTGTTGCAAAGGCGATCTGCAGATTAAAGCTCTGCGTTTCGTACTGGGAGACCACCACTAAGCTGATGAGGGATTCCCAGGTTTTTAGAGGAGCATGAGCGTGTGTGTGTGTGTGTGTGTGTGTGTGTGTGTGTGTGTGAGCATGTGTGTGTTTATATGTCCCTGTCATACCTCGTGGCATCTTTTTTGACAGCACAGATAAGCCACAGGAGATACAGCAGATGACCGTGACGTGGCGTGAAATCTGGGTCGCAAGTCTAAAATAAAAGCGTCTAAATCAAACCTCCTCCAACTAAATTTGGGACGATACGTTCAGAGAGTGACACATATTCGCTACTGTGCACATGCAGTCGTCTAACATGTGTGTCGATGCAGAAACACGGCTGTTGGTACGTCAAAACAACACCGAAAGGCCCGTGTTTTACACAGAAGAAAGCCGAGTGGCAGCTCAGCTAGAACAGAGCTCCTTCTGTATGTGGTGGCTCATTGGCTTTGACCTTTGACCTCAGTAATATGACCACAGGCTTTAAGAAGGCTGAGCCAGTGTGCACCAGGCTCAAAACACATAAGCACTGACTTTTATGTGTGTGTGTGTGTGTGTGTGTGTGTGTGTGTGTGTGTGTGTGTGTGTGCGCTGAGCGGTCTTTTTCCCCCACTCTCACACACATCACCCACACAGCAGCAGTTAATTTATTCAGTACATGGGAAACTGTCTAAAACCTCTGCCCTCGTGTTGATCCTGCAGCACTGAGCTCTCCGTTCAAAAGGAGCGGAGGGAGAGGGAGAGCTGCAGTGACACCTGAGCCCAAGGGAGGGGGATTTCATTAACGCACATCGACATATGCGTACAGAAACAACACACACTAGAGAGGGCTAGAAAAGCGCCGTGAAACCTAATCACGACACGAACACTGTCCCCAGCAGATTCAGGGAGAGGGAAAGAGGAGGAACGGGGGAAAGCAGAGGAGGACTGACGGAGGGAGCAAATGGGAAAGAGGAAGAAGAGACAAGAGGAAGGTTGAGGAAAATGAGAAAAGACAGCAAAAGAAAGAAGTTGACAAAGAGGAGTGTGTGTGTGTGTGTGTGTGTGTGTGTGTGTGTATGTGTGTGTGCGTGTTGGGAGAGGGCAATGCTGACAGGAAGCGTTGACAGCCCTGTGTGGAACAGTAGAGGTTTTATCTGTACTAAATGAGGCTCTATCCCCATTCGCCTCGCCCCATTACCACTGACCTGGAGTCTGTTATATTTTCTTATTAAAAACTTCAAGGAGGTGAAGCAGCTCGCGTTTCAGTGACCAGAGCAAGGAGAGCAAAGCAAACAAAATGTTATTTTTAGAGCAAGAGAGACACAATGTTCTACACAGAAAAGCAAGGAACACTGAAATGCATACACAAATTCAAATGCAAAGCACAACCACAACAGGACAAAGTTAGTCAATTGTGCACAAGAAATGTCTTCTGTCTGCTCTTGGGCAATGTTAATGGTGCAGCACATGACCTATTAAAATTAAAATGAAGATAGCAATTAAGTCAAATAAAATAAAATGGAGGCTGGATTGAGGATCGCCATGTGGTGCTAAGAATTTCCAAATTTCCGATATTCAGTAACTACAAAGTGGACCCTGTGGTGCCATTGTGTTGTCCATTAAAGACTGCTTTATTTTCCACCAAAATGTTAAGTTTGCTACAAGAGGAGAAAATACACTGGCCCCTGTTTACATCCAAGTTGTTGCTGTTAATGTAAGACTGCTCAATCGTACCCTTCTGGGACTGTGCAGTGCTCGTATATCTGTATGTGTGTCAAGCACACAGTGTTGCAGTTGAGTCACTAAACCTCGAGTCCGAGTTGAGCCTCGAGTCCCTGATGTTCGAGTTGTAGTCAAAGTCATGAAAGAAGAGTCCGAGTCATCAAGGTTGAGTCACAGTCGAGTTCCAAGATGGACTCCAGTGCTGCACAGTCAAAGATCTGATATACGAGTAAAAATGGTTAATATTGAACATTTTAAAGGGAGTTTATTTCCAACAACACTACAAGCATATGTGTGGAAATGACACTAAACCTGAAACTAGTGGCAACATGTACAAGCTGAACAACAATGGACCAGGGACTGATCGCTGGGGGCCTCCACTCAAGATGGCAACCTTAAATCCTTAAGAGAGAACAGGCCTACTCTCTACTGAAAGCTTTCCAGTTAACATGGTGAACAGTGGCACTGGATACCACTCTCACACAATCCAGGAATAGTAACATGGTAATTTTAGATCAGTTAATACCAAAGGTAAGGGCGGTTACTGAGGTTAAAATGAATACATGAATGAAATATGATGTAAATTGTTGACAGGAAGTAGTTGACCAAAATCTTTATGTATTTTAAAAGATATTATATATTTTTTAAAAGTATGTTTTAAAAAGGAATAAGAGGATATGTTCCTTCTTCAACAAAAGTAGTATATAAGATAAAATGGAAATTTAGGAATTGTTTGTCTTCGATTTGCTGGAGCCTGTCAGACTACAGAGAGACAAGTGAAATTCAGTGTTATAAATTCATAGAGTGCCTGTGTCCCCAACACCACAAGCGCATACATTTTATAGCTTGGCTGATCCCAAAGGGAATCAAACCATTGACCCTGGCCGTGCTTCACCGGCAACGCCACCCACAACCTCATGGCGCTGAATTATTCAGCTCCTGAGAGGAAGAGCGGCGGGGCCTGTTAGCGGCGTGAGGGACCCCACAGAGGTCAGAGTAATGTCACAGCCCAGCCAGAGTGCTCTCCATGTCTGCTGATTGCACCCTGACAGCTCAAATGGAAGATGAAGCCAAGCGTGTCCAGGGGACGGCGTCAGGCAGCGGAGCCCCCCCCCCGCCCACTTCCCTGCCTCTGCTTGCGCACAGGGAGCAGGGGCCATGTTTGTAAAAATCCATGGTCTGTGACTTTGTCCTGGTTTCACTTCTTTTCAGTCTTTGGAAAAATACAAAAGACAGGACCATGACATTCATTTAATGGAAAATTATGGACATTTGCTTTGGCTTTTGTAACATTGGAGAAATAGTAAAGGGGGTATTTAAATCAGAGATGCTTTTAAATCAAAATCCTTGGAAAGAAAGCATTTGATTAAGCAAAAATTATCATAAAATACCTCTAAAAATAATAAATCTCCTCTTCAAAGTAAGTAAATATAGTTCGGAATAAGACACATGACTGAAAATAACCACAACAAACACAGTTTATTATGTGTCCCATGAGTGTTCAGTCACTTCTACACTTTTGCTCATTTCATTTTTGCCTGATTCCTGTGTGAAGTCATTAAAAGCAGTTATAAGGAAGGGTAATGTTGAGACTCATATCATATTGCTATACTTGTTTTAAGAAGCAATAAGTGACTTATGAAGAGCTGTCTTTAAAACAAACGAGTAGTATCAATAGAAAATTTACACAGACAATACGCTATATATATATATATATTCTTTTTTTTTCCCCACAAATATCTGTCCTGGCATTTTCCAATCAGATCAACCGCAGACCACAAATAATAAGCAGGAGAGGATAAAACAAAAGAAAACATCCAATCAATCAAACAGCAGCCCCCAACATATATTGTCCATTCAGCACAAAGGTGTCACGCATTATTGCTGAAGCACAAACAAGCTTAAAACAATGAATAATATTGCCGGCGGGCTGTTTAACAAGCTACGAACAAACTCAGCTCATCACACAGAGGATCAATAGGAAGAAGAGACAGCATTGCCTAATCAAAGTCTACTGTTCCTCCCTGGAATAATGACCCATATGGAGGAAGCAATATGCTGCATTGTGGGTACCAAAACACAATACCTCATTAAATCATTACACCTCTGAGCCTGGATCATTACTCAAACAATCTGTCTGTCATCAGCCAGCAGGCATCTTTAGCCCCACTGGAGAAACATTTAGGATTAACAGAGGGATGCAATGCAAATATAACATCAAAACGTAGTGGCATTTAATAGGAAGCAAAAGCCAGAAAGCACAAGAAGGTCACCATCTATAAATTGTCTTTTAAGTAGGGTAACAGTGAGCCATTATTAGTCTCTACTGGAACTGTGTAAAAAAGTATTATATGGAAATAAAGTACAATAAAGTCTTGTAAAACTTGCTGTTGAGTAGGAGTTACTCATGATGAATCACTTTAGAAATAACGCACAAAATGTGTTCAGATTAATCTGCCACATATGGTATAGTCAATATAAATGTAAATGAGTCTTGGATACTACAGAACATTGCAGGGGAAACAAAACACAGCAGATTTGGCAAGGTTACAGCATAATACCACAGACACAGACTTGGCCCAAATTATATGAATCTGAGTGTGAAAAAAATTGACTAGTTCCTGACAAAAAAAATTATATTGAAAGGAAACGCTTTAGAAATATTTGTACTTTTTATCAGATACCACGCAGCACAGAACTGACGGAGAGATATAGAGGATTACATTATGATAAAGTCCATGGTGTGACTTTTGATAACATGGTGAAGCAACCAGGCTGCCTTTTCATGAAGCCTTTAAAGGGGCATTGCAGAAATTTAACATTACACTTCCACACAAGAGACGTCAAAATACCCTGACTATAAGTCCCTAGTGTGGGTCAAACTCCAAACAGAGTAATGAAACTCAAAAGTATCGCTCCATTAGACCCTCTCTGCCCACCTCCCCACATAATACACACTCCATTTTTTCCCCCCAGAACCTCAGGTTGTTTTTATACCTAAATCTAATGAAACGTTAATCATAGCATTGTCACATCATAAAACACTTGGGTAATTTTTACAGGAGGGTATAACCTTGAATAATTCATGAGGGAGGCCCCATTCCTGCACGTGCCCAGGGGCCTACAAATCACTGAATGTGCCCCTGTCCACTATACATTTACATATCAGTCTGCTATCACGTTTCAGTTCAAATTCAAATGAACTTTATTGGCATGACAAATGATTTCACGTTTAAGCTCAATGCAGAATATCAAGCAGAAAACCTGGACCACAGTGTGTCACTCCGGACAAATGTTTCTGAAGTATTATAGGAACAGTATCAGCACATATGGGCGAGTTTCCGTTAGGACTGTCCATGCGCGCTAATGTGCTCGTGTGCACGTCTGTGAGCACCATATGTGCTCGCTGTGTGCGTGCGTACGTGCGCGCGTGCCAAACGCCAGCCCAGCAGTAGGCTAAGCATCACGGTCACAAACTCGCGCGCATTGGCTACTGAAGAGAGAGAGAGAGAGAGAGAGGGGAGAGAGAGGGAGAGAGGGGGGCAACCGTCTACCGTTTTGTTGCACGAGGAGTGGAGTCGCGAGGAGCCTCTGCTGACAGACAGACAGCAGATCCGCTGCCTCACTGACTGCGACACCTGAACAATCACCAAACAGCACCAACAGCAAACAAGCGGAGGAGAGCCTGCTGAAAGCGAGGAGGTGGAGGAACGGAGGCTTTCCTGAAAATTAAAGAAGAAGAAGAAGGAGAGGAGGAGGAGGAGGAGGAAGAAGAAGAGAGGAAAGCGGGGGCAGGCAGCCGGCTGGCCGGGACACGGAGCCCGTCCAGGGGGAGAAATCACCGCCACGACCGTCACTTCACATCACAGCTCCGAGATGACAAAGGTGGGTGACAGTGTGCTCCCATTGTGTTTTATCAGCATTTCTGTCCTACATGGCGTCTTTAATCCCCATAGTAGAGTAGTAGTAGACATGTCTGGTGTGCTGTAATAAAAAAAAAAAAAAAAAAAACGGGGCCGCTGAGACACAAGAGAGCATTTAGAGGCGTTTATGTTTGTTTCTGTTGTGCCAGCGCTCCGCTCTTTCCCCCCTCTCCGCTCTGTGCTGGGGACAATTACGCACCGATAGCCGCGCCGTTTTCATAAAAGCGGATTTATGGATGAACTGACACTTTCTCGTACAAGGAAAATGATTTCATAGCCGACATGTGTGTCATTTGGAGATGCGCGGCGGAGTGATTTCATTCAGCACGACCCCAAAATCTAATCTGATCTGGCCCACATTTCGCTGTGTGAGACCTCTTGAGGAGATTTTTTTTGTTGTTTATGCCCTGAAACAAGCGTCGTGTGTGTGTGCGTGTGTGTGTGTGTGTGTGTGTGTGGTGGGGAGGAAGGAGGAGGGGTAGCGAAGAGGGAGGTAAGGAGTAGTTGAGATAGACCACACACACTGGGGTGTTTATCGCGATCGTCTCCTTGAGCGCCCGAGGCTTGTCGGGATGATTGATTTCACCTGTTCAGTCAGATTAAGACTGTGTGAACACCTATGCCGGCAAATTAATGAAACTGCACGCAAAGATTAACCGTGCGAGATTGTCACCGTGAACCCTTTAGTGCAGCCAGAGGAGAGGGGGCAATAATTAATGACAAACTATTTATATCTGGAGCTTTATTGGATGTAGTATAAGTCCCAATTGTTGCATGTGTGTTCAATATTTTGCTTTCCATTAGTTGATCGGTTTGTTGCTGGATGTAAGTTGGCTGAAGTTTTTCCATCTGCCCTATTTGGTGTTGCAACATCAATTAAATTTTTTGTCAATGTGACATCCAGGTTTGTGTTTGCCGCAGATGACAGGCTGGACTGTGGCAGTCTGAGAGACAAATGATTTGACAGTGCCTTGTTTTTCCGTCAGCTGCAATTGACTGAAAGTTGTGGACAACAATCAAGCCAATCGGTGTTATTTGCATAGCTCAAAATCACAAATCTGCACAGCATGCACCACCATCTCTCCAAAATCCCAGGAAGAGCAACAGAGGAGGGGTCCATCTTCCAGCACACACAGTAACAAATTCATAACTTTAGTCTTTTATTGACCATAAATAAATAAATAAATGCAAAACATTAATCTATAAGGCTCCAGGGAACTGTGAGGGGCATTTATTAGGCTATTACTATTAAGCAAATAATCAGGATGCCACACACACGCACACACATCCATAAATTCTTTGCAGGTGCTGGAAAACGGTAATGTGCAAAGGAATACGTGCACAATGATGTATTTCAGTCTCAATTATCTCTTTCATCTTTCATGGTCATGACAAGGTTTTTAAGCACAGATTTGTGGACCTGAGGGAGACCAATTTTTACTATTGTGTATCATTTTAAAGACGACACTGTTAATCCATTAATTCATTTAAAAGAAATATATTAATAATTGAAATAATCATAATTTGGAGGTTTAATTGAGAATGACCTGAGGACGAAGTGGGGAGTGATGTATAATGCTTTTCTCCACTCGTCACCTTTTCCCCTCCATTTATCCGTCCATTAATGCTCCTGTCTTTCTGACTGTCTGTCTCTTCTCTTTTTGTCCATCTCTCTCCTCTCCTCCTCGGTGTCTTCAGGAAGTAGGTTAAGAGAAGGGAGGGGAGGTGATTTAATAAACCCTTTTGCGGCAGGTCATTTACAAGCACAGACCTGAAAAGGTTTCTTTTTTTTCTCTGGCACGTCCACAAGAAAGGCACAAGACTGAGTGATGAATGTGTGCACTGTCTGGAGAATAGCAATGCTGAGAATAACAATGGAGCTGGGGGGGGGTTAGAACAGTGACACACACACACACACATACACACACTTTTAAATAGATGCTCACACACACACAAATGTACAGAGGGCCTCTCGAAAAAAGTCAATATGATAAAGTGTGTTGTGCTGACTAAGATTCACTGCATCGCTGTGTTAAACCTCATCACAGGAGTCTTTTTAGGAGGAGGGAGCCCTTTAAAGACCAACGCTCTGGGAAAGGAGTTTATTTATACAATATTAGACTATGATATACAGCTCTGTGGCTGCTTGCTGTACAGTGTCCCAGAAGATGGTAGTTCTCAGGCCCCGAGCCAAAAGAGCAGCAGTGTTTACTGCTTCCCTGAGAGGAAAAAGACTCAGAAATGCTGCTATACAACATAAATTCCTTCATTTGTCCAAGTCACATTCAGGCTGTTTGCACATCCTGCCTTAAAGTCAAAAGTTTGTAGGATCACAGGCCCGTAGTGACAAAGTGAATATGAGCTTTCTGTATTGCATAGTTTTAAAATCAGTTTGAAGTACCGTCATAGACCCTGCAACATACATTTAAAAGTTCACTCAATTAATCACTCAATTAATCAGCCAGTCAAATTAATAGAAAACTGTTAACTTGTTCAAATTTTAATAAATTAAAGGTCACTGCTAAAATAGAAATACCAAAAGATTTATCCCAACTGTTCATATCATGAATTAGATATTTTAAATTGGGTGTTGGTCTAATGTTCTAAGTCATTATTTTGAGATTTTATATGGTAAATCAGTGATCAATAACAAATAAAAGTAGATTAAATGGTGAAAACCGGAAGCTCCAGCCCTAATACACGCACTCATTTCTTCACCCCACATTGTGCCTCTATTGTATGAAATCTCAGGATGATTTACACAAATACTGACAGAATCAGAGCCGCTTAATTCACCGTGATTCCTTATTTAACCTTTATTTAACCTGCCAAGCCAACTAAGATAAAATTCTTACTTGCAGTGATGAGAGATGACAAGAGGGAAAATCCCTCCTAAGTCAGATTTAGTCATTTTTCTCTACTAAATGATCTGTTCTCTACAACCCTATACTTGACCAATGTTTGGTTCTTTTCAGGAGAATATAACTTAAGCTGTGCATCAAAATGCACATACATTTTCACGGACGAAACAAGAGAGTCGGTGGAAAAAGATCTTTTAATAACAAAAAGTGACTCAAAATCCAAAACAGAGCAGAATGAACAAAATGGAAACACTCAGGAAACTAGGAGGAAATCAGGAGCAACACAACCAAAAAGAGAAACTTCAAATATAAGGTAAACACAGGAAGTTGGCCAAAATCAAGATAGGGAGCAATTTTCACAGAGCAACAACAAACACAACAGCAGCAGCGAAGCTTGGACTGAGAGGGACAGTAAAGTCGCACAAAACTCAGACTCGCATGAGAACGTGCACACAAGAAAACAACAAACACGAGCAACTAAAAGAAAACCATACAGGAGCAGGGGTAAACAGTATAGCCTCCTGTCTTTTCTGCGCAGCTGGTATTGACAGGAAGCAGTATGGGCACACGTGTCGGCGTACAGGAGGATGGGATGTTTGCATCGGAGGCCGCCAGGATCAGCAGGTCGTCTCGATGGGTATTAGTGGAGGTCGTGGCTGGTGTTTAAGATGAACTGTGAGCCTGAGTGATTAGAGCGCTTGTGATTAAAAATTTACTTGTGGGCATCTCAGCTCACCGCAGAGAACTGAGGGAATGTGTGTGTGTGTGTGTGTGTGTGTGTGTGCCAAGCCCAAGCAAGATTAATGCTCCATGTTAACAAACCTCTTGGTTTGACCCTGGCTAGCTTGCAACAACACACACACACACACACACACACACACACACACACACACTGTTCATTTGATCCCCTGTTGGGATAATGCTGGCCATGAGTAGCCCTCCTTGCAGAACCATATAAACACACACACACACACGCACACATTCAACACTGGCCAACTTTCAGCCACTATGATACATTAGTGCAAAGGTGCTTTTTCTCCTCATTGTGGCTTGGGACCTATTTGATTTTGATGTGCAGACAATGCAACCATATGAGGTGAGATTAGAGGTGATGCATACTTAGAGGGATTGTGCAAAGTTGAAAATGACCTCTCATTCCCTTTGCTGCTGCTATCATTGAGTCAAATTGATCCCCTGGGAAGCCCATCAGCCCCCGGCTGAATAAGAGACATCTGTACAGCAGCATAGACATGTTCCTGAATGTTAACAAGGGAGCAAAGGCTTTGAAAATGTTTTCCAATGATGAAAAATTTATTCTAAAGCGCTCTTTATGCCTTGTCAAAAATTAAAAAGGCTTTTATTGTGGTGGCATGTTTGCCACGGTTCTGTCTGCGGCTGCTGGTGCCAGATGAAGACAGATGGACAAGGGTTTTGTCGGGGTTTGGGCCCGGCTCCAGGGAGCTGCCCTTGGTGCGAACGTTTTCATCTACTTGTAGATGTCCGACAGCCAGATTCCAGCAGACCCTGGATTAAAATGGTCTGGGCAGGAAGATTATGGGGGCAAAGTCCTGTATCTGGATGGCCCTGCTGTTCTGCACAACACAAAATGAATTATTTATTATTTATACTGCGGGAATCTCAGTTTGGTTGTCGTTGTTATTGTCGGACAGCAAAGTCCTCCCACGGCCAGCGGTCAGACCAAATACAAACTGGACGCTGGTTTTCCATTAAGACTGTGATTATCTGTTTCAGTTAATCAAAACACAGGGGTGTTTCCATACTTGTAGAGGTCTGAAAAGTAACATGAATAGTCTGAGTAACTTTGACATAAGTGAAACAGGAACAGGATTTTTTTTAAAGTGAGGTTGGTTTACTCAGAAAAGATGCGATCAAAATACACATTATATTTTTCTTACCTGAAAACCAGACAGAGGAGGTGGAAGAGCTCTTTTCTGCCCCGAGTAGTGCCTGCAGGCTGTATAACACTCCTACAACCTCCTCAAATAAGGTATGGCAGACTGGTTTTAACCTGGGAGGCAAAACTTTTTCACTTTTTCAGAAACTTTTTTCATCTGGATTTTGACAGCTGGACATTAGGACG